GCGTTTTGCACACTCATTTTGGCCCATTTAGGCGCACGAAGTGTTTGAATTTTAATAAATTCAGTTGAAGAGCATAATTTATTCTGGCCATTGGCATGAATGAATGCTATAGCACTAAATGTGTCTAGAATTTAAGTGCATTTAGGATAATGTACATGTGTTTAGGTATATCAAGCGATTTTTGCACCCAAAAACTCCTTTCCTGAAAGTACTGGTGATGTTTTTTTTTTTTTCTACCTTTAATTGCCTCTTCTAATACTCCTGGAAACGCTTCTCTTCTAACACTCCTGTAAACGCCTATGTGAGCATGGACACATAGGCTAACATAGAGGTGAGTTTACAGGTAGAAAAAAAAACATCACAAGCCTGTAAAAGTGGTTTTTTTAAGCCCAGTGTTCATAAGCCCTTAGGACTGAACTTTCATAGTTTCTTGTATCCCCAATCATAACTGGTTTTGTATATAATAAGACACCTTAATTCAGGAGTACACTATACATACAGTGATAGGCAAATCGTATTAGTGATCCTACAGATGACAAATAGCTCCACCTTGTGGCAAATTATACATAATGCACTGTAGAGATGTCAACAATAACATATTCTGATATTAGGCCTGAATCACACCTATGTTTTTTAGTGCTTTAGAGCAGAAACTCACTACAGTCCATTTAACATGGTTAAAACAACAACCAATTTGCTCCAGCTTAGGTTCGGTCACTATCACTAGTGTAGTGAACTAAAATAGTAAACGTAAAGTCCTTGTGAGGATCTATATAAAAATGTCCATAACTCAGTAATAGTTCACTTGGGCAGCTGGTCCTTAGAGCTGAAGCAAGCTCTGAATGCAAACAGGAAAAACCAAAGAGAACAGTGCCTCTAAATGTAGTATTAAAGTTTCATTTATTATAAAACCAAAAGGCTCCAAATCGGCCATTCACATATTAAAAGAAAAGGGTAGGCATATCTGTAGCATGGTGAGGTGCTGGATGATTCTACATGGTGGCCATCTCTGAGGGTAGGAGGGAGATGAATGCCAGTCTCCGGTGGAAGGAGGAAGGCAAACCACTCAATTTTTAGCTGTGAAACCCAGCTTGGACCGCAACGCTCAGACCAGACGTCGTAGTGGACCAGAAATGATGCAATGTGTTTCAGAGCATGCACACTACACGGGGAGGATTGTGTATCACTCCTTTCTCAAGCTGGTTGGCAAAGACAACAGGAGCACCTATTTGCCGGAAATTACACAAAACCAACAGCAGCTAATTCCTATCTGCAGGATAAGTGCTGCCATCACCCTTCATGGGTATGAAACCTTCCAATGTCTTCAGAGGAATAGAAGCACTATTGTGTTTTTGATGCATTTCTGGTGCATTTTCTGGTGACTGACTACCAGCACCAGGGGCGGACTGACAACTCATGGGGCCCCCGGGCAATAGAGGATCATGGGGCCCTTATGTCCTTGCCCACACTCAAAAAAAGCCTATAAAAGGTACCAGGGGCATTTCATGGGGCCCCCTACTGACCCCGGGCCCTCGGGCAGTGCCCGAGTGCTCGAATGGTCAGTCCGCCCCTGACCAGCACAGACCTGTGAAACATGGGCATGTGACTCAAGAAACGCACAAAAAATGCAACCACTGTGCATTTTTGTTGCGTTTTTAAAGAGCTTCCATTCATTTCAATGGAGAGCTGCATTTTGATGTGGTTTTGAAAAGAGCACTAAAGTTGTACCATGACAAGGAGGAAAAGGAACAGTGTCTCTGAGTGCAGTATGCTTAAAATGGCTTAAAAAGAAAGCAACTCACAAAAGTTGTAGTAAACAGCGTTTTTAAAAGATATAGGTCCCGCTGTGTGGCTCCCAGGTGGTCCCTCTGGGTGTCGCACTATCCAAGCCAGAGTTGGCTTAAACATTTTGTTTATGTTATCTGAGAGACTGATCCCATTAGGGAAACCTCATAGAAATACGTGTATGGCAGAAATATCACCACAAAAAACACATTTATCAAGTTGCTGTAGTCAAAGAAGCAGGTCAATCAAGAAAATGTATAAGATGTGGCAAAACTGTGGGTTTGATTTACTAAACCTGGAGTACCCAGAATCTGGTGCAGCTGTGCACAGTATCCAACCAACGTCTAACTTCAGCATGTTTAATGAAATTTGATAATAAAACCTGGACGCTGCTTGGTTTCTATGCAGATCTGCACCAGGTTTTTCACTCTCCAGTTTTAGTAAATCAACCAATGTGTGTGTGATGTATTATAACAATCATGGCAATCAAAGCTATTGTACCTGATGCCTGCTCTGTACACACATATTTACATTTAATGGATCAAAATCAGCGATATTTTGTATATACTGTACTATATTTTATATATAGAGTATTTATATTTTTATATAGTGAATATTAAAAGCAGGTATCAACCAAACACTAACATCTCATATACTATTTAACATGGTAATGTAAACTCAAACTTAAATTTTATTCCTTTGAATTTGCAGATTTCATTAAAATGATAATTGTTAATTCTGCTATGAAGATCCTTTATAGTATGACAAAGCTCTGTCCCTCTCTTCCAATTGCCAGCTTGTGTTGTCACCTTGCCAAGTACACTTCCCCTGGAGACTTCCAGTGCAGTTTTATTGGCACTCACTGCACAGGACTTTTCTGCCACTGTCATGCTGCTGGAGCAAATGCTCTGTGTGCAAAGAGGCTGGAGGAGATCAGCTACACTGAGATGCAACAAAGAATGCAAACAGTAAAACAATGGGAATTTATCATGATGCACACGGGTTGATTTACTACAACTGGAGAGTACAAACTCTAGTGCAGCTTTGAATGGTAGCCAGCCAAGTCAGCTTCTAACTTCAGCTTGCTCAGTTAAGCTTTGACAAAAAACTGGAAGATGATTGGTTTCCATTTGACCATTCTTCCAGAAGCGCATTTGTGAGGTCAGGAACTGATGTTGGACAAGAAGACCTGGCTAATTCATCCCAAAGGTGTTCTATCGGTTGAGGTCAGGACTCTGTGCAGGCCAGTCAAGGAACCTTGGGGTACACCACTAACAACCCTAGACCATTCAGAGTATGAATCATTAACCACTACTCTCTGAATACGATCTTTTAGCCAGTTTTCTATGCATTTACATACAGATTTTTCAAAGCTGGTAGACCTTACCTTACACATTAACCTTGTGTGGGGAACTGCGTAAAACGCTTTTGCAAAATCCAAATATACCACGTCGATCCCTCTGTCCAAGGTTCTGCTCACCTCCTCATAAAAAGAAATCAGATTTGTTTGACAACTTCTGTCTTTCATGAATCCATGCTGTCTGTTGCTTAAAGTATTTTTTTTTTTAAGCAAAAACTCATCTATGTGGTCTTTTATTAAACTCTCCAGTACCTTCCCAACTATAGAAGCTAAACTAACAGGTCTATAATTACTTGGTACAGATTTTGATCCCTTTTTAAATATTGGCACCACATTGGCCTTATGCCAATCCAGAGGTACTATGACAGTCATTAAAGAGTCCCTATAAATTAGAAACCATAGCTTTGAAATGACAGAGCTCAATTCTTTAAGGATCCGTGCGTGTTTGCCATCAGGTCCAGGTGCTTTATTCGAAATGCGTCATCACATTTTTGCACATTCACGCTGGTTACAGATCCTGATCACGCCATTATTATTATTGTTTTGTTGCAAATATACCGGACTGATTGCAACAAAGGCACATGTCTTTTGTTCTGTGAAAGCACACTTGTTAGCAATAAATAGGAATGTCTCAATGGCATTACACTATGTGTGGTGTGCTTTACCTTTTTAATTTTATGATGCGAGCTGAGTGTGGAGTTGGAGAGGTGAGTTTGGAGCGAGCCCTTGTGTCTCCTGTGGATCATCTGTGTGCCATGGGTCTGGATCGATGACTCCATGGATAATGGCTCATATAATAACAAGCGCCATTTGACTTCCATTGTCAAAGGGATCAAACCATCTGGCAAGGAGTTTGGCTTTCTTTCCTAGTGACTGTGATCCTGATCATGGGTGTCTTGGCATGGGAGAAGATCAACTCTTTTGCATTGAGTGCACTCTATATGTGGACTTTTTTTGGGACTAATTTTTGGATGAGATGATTTAAATTGGTCACATTGGTGATTGTTATGTATTTAAAGTTACAACACTTGTAGAAGTTGTTATTTGGTGGATAGAGAGAGATAAGAGATTGTAGTGTTTTAAAAGCACATGAATTTTTTTCATTGGAGCAGAGTCCTATCATACAGGTTACTCACACCTGTTCTCAATCACATTTACTTGCAGGAATGCCGACACAATTGTATATTGTCTCAATCACACATATCACTAACCCGGTGATTGTCAAGGATATGTTAAACAACATTTTGACACATTGTTTTCTAGTCCTCTTTGTCACTGCTATGTTTGCTACTATCTGAAGTGGTTAATGACCTTGTCATGCCATAAACTTCAAGAAGAGGACCACTAGTAAAACTGTCCACACCACACTGTTAGCTCAGTTTTTTTAAGCTACCATGAACCCTGGCTGCAAATGTTGTGAGTTATCCTGCTGTGATGTTATTTTGGTTGGTGTGCTGAACATTGATGGCTGTAGCCTAAACTGCACAATGTTGACAGTTTAGATGACTCCAGTGCCAGATGTTCAAAAGAGTTTGGACGTGTGAATTATAGATGTGAAGATACCATGCAGCCGTGGGAACCGCGCGCTTACATTTTCAACCATTGTATTTAATATTTTATTGCTGTATCCAGTCTTTGATGTTTCTGGGGAGGATGCTTTTTTTCTGTAGTTTTCACACATTTATTTATTTTCTTCTCTTATCTGTATTTTGACACAGATCAACTGTTTGAGATAACTTAATTTATTTTAATTTATTTTGTTCTCCCAGGGTTATTTTTTTTTCATTGCAGAAGAAAAGAATTACTTATCCCTAAAGTGTTACTAAACCCACACCAGTAAAATCAGTCTGTATATGCAGTAAAGCATGCTTGTTATACTCTCTGTGAAACCTAAGGGGTTAATCCTCTGCATTGTGTAAAAAGGATGCTTGATTCTGTCTTCTCTGATCCTCCCCTTCTACTGTCCCCAATCCATCTGCTGATAGAACAGAGCCTTGGGGGCAAGCTGCACATGCTCAGTTTGGTGTATATTGCTAGAGAGTTTTTTTTTTCTTGGGAGAACGCATGTGATCAGCACAGGCCCTATCAGCACTGTCCAGACAGAGGGTCGGGGTCCTGCAGCCTCATAGGACAATCAGGGGAGAATGAAAAATCCTCCTACAAGTTGTAACCAGTGTTCTGCTGGACACTGAAAGAAGTCACAAGACTGTTTTTACTGCTGACGAGAATATGTATTTAGCAGTTTATATTTACTAAAATAATTACATTCCCATGTTCTTTGTACTGTGAGAGACCAAATATAGTGAATGAAGGGTGATGGGTTTAGTAACACTTTAAGGTATATGTGATTCCTAACAATCAACTTCTCCTATTTGCTACTGGTCTGCTAATTGTACCGGGAAATATACCATGAAAGTATTTTTTCCACAATTTTTCAAACATTTTGTTTGAAAATCTGCTGCACAAATACCATGTGACAAGAAATTGCAACAACAACCATTTTATTCTCTAGGGCCTCTGCTTTAAAAATATATAATGGTTGGGGTTCTAAGTAAATTTCTACGAAAAACATGCACATTTTTACATGTAGGAGAGAAGTGTCAGAATTGGCCCTGTAGGCAATATACCATAAAAGTATTTTTTCCACAATTTTTTTTTTTGTTTTAAAAGAATCACACACAAAGGTAAATAGAACATGGATATACAGTAATAAAGCACATGGTATATAGAATGATTCTTTATAAGTATGCAGAGAAGGGGCATTTCAGAATTGCAGAATATGTCATCCAGAAGGTAGACCATAGTATGTGTTTTACCAAATAAACCAAAAGCACAATGCAAGATCATACTGTAGAGCAAAATCAAAGACACAAAGATGTATATATAAAAAAAAAATGCCTATATTTTCACTAATTAAAACTGCATGTAACTCTGTTCTGTGCACAAGGAGCAAAATCAAATGGTCTAAGGCTATATTCTCTGCAGTTCGAAAGTGTGAACGCAGAAATACCTCATTATAGCCCCTACATGCAGGTGATAAGAATGCCCAATTCTTACGATAGTGCCATCTGTAGCTATAATGTGGTATTTTCCCCATTCAGACATTCTCTATCTGCAAAGAATATGGCCTGAGAGTATTCAGTTTTGCCCCGTTTGCACATAACAAGTTTACATGCAGTTTTGATGGATGAAGCAATGCAGCCACAACACCTAAAAACTGGTAATCTGAATATATTACATTTATTACATTTTTGTTGATGGGTTTTTATACACTTTAAAAAGCATTTTCCTATTTCCACGTTTTCCCCTTATCCATTGCAGCTTCGCTAGTTTATTTTTCTTTTTGCAGCTCTTCCAACTAAATATCCGGGTTATATTTCCAACTCTAGTAAATCAATATGAAAAAAACAACAACAGCTAGTCCGTGTTTATTCTGGTTGTCTACTAAACACAAATACATCACAACTGTATCTTGGACAGCGATGGATACAGATTAGAGTTGGCTGATGTGAAAAAAACAAATTAGGTTTCCTTTCATGAAAGACATCGGTTTGTCACAGTGCCACCAAGCCTTTTGCGTACTTTTCTGCAGAAGTTCACTGATGCCATATGCTGCACCTGCTAACTCTTCCTAGGTGCCTAGTTAGTCTTCCTTTCTGCTGTCTTGTACTAGTTGTGAAGTCAGTGACATCCTGCATGTCATCCACCTGAGAGCTGTTCTTAGCAGCACAGAGTACCTTTATAGAAGGGTCAAGATGTTTGGCTGGTGAGGGGTTGAAGGCTGCCTCTTCAATCTCCATGCAAGCCTATGCATTGTTATTATGATTGGTCTTCCCGTCTGTAGCGCTGCTGAAACTACCAGGGTCTTGCGACTGGGCCCTGTCGTTCTGCCACCATGGGTGGGCCCCAAGACAGCAGAAAGGGGGGCACTGCAGAATATGTAAAATGGTCTTAAGGCCCATTCCACATTGCTGAGACCTCAAAATTGCATAACTTGCTTGCAATTCTCTTGTGACTTTTGCGATTTAACATTGCAGTCTATGACACTCAAAACCGCACCAAAATCGTGCAGGGTCTTTTTTTTTTTTATGAGTCACATTGATTAAGACAACACCCATTGAAATGAATATGATTTGACCTGTCATGCAACTTTGTGTCAAAGTCACATGAAAAGTCACAGCAGTGGTAACAGGGGCTTATAAAGGACCCTGTAATGGGATTAAATGGCCCTGGGATCAGTAGGAAGGGCCCTGGGCCCAGAGGGAAGGCCCCACCGACCAGGGGAAAGGGCCCTGAGACTGATGGAAAGGGCCCTTCATGGTTTCTTGCACTCTGAAGGTTCTAGTTACGCCTCTGGTCTGCAGGGCCCCTAATAGTTGCACAAGATGCTACACAAGCCACATAATTATCTTGAACTTGCCCGAGATGCACATCGTATTTTTGGCAGCAATTTTTTTATATCCAGTAGACCTATTTACCGAAAAACTGAAAAGATGGCATTAATACTGTGATTGTGAATGGAAAAGGAACGGTAAGTTTTGAAAAAGCAATCACCATTGTGAACTGCCATTTCTGCTCTTGTGGTGCTGCTGTCCTGCTAATCTCTTTAGAAAAATAATTTTAGGAATACATTAATGGATGACAGGTTAAGACCATCCTATCTTTAAAGCTGAAGTATGGCCAAAAAGTATTTTTGTACATTTGCCCAGTGAGAATATGTTACCTGTCTGAAGTGTGCCCCTGTGGCTGCTGTAGCATTTTTTAAAACTCTTTTTCAGCTCTCAGTCTCCTGTCAGAACCAGATGTCCAGCGCTGATAATTGTCATTGTGGCTGCAGTACAGGTATCACATGCACCTCCTCCATTCATAAAAGGCCTTGCATTCTTTTCAAAAAACACAGAGTATTCTACAATTGGAGGAGGGAGATTGTGACGTTCAATTCCCCCATTTATGAAATGCCAAAACTACAATACTCAGCAATGGTCTTTGGTGCTGACAAGAGACTGCAAGCTGAGTAAAAGTAACAGCATTAACAAATACTGCAACATCCAGAGATGGGGCACGCTTCAATAGAGGTAACTTATTTATATTGTGAACATACTTCAGCTTTTATTATTAATGACTCAGTATAGTGCAGTGGTTTTAACATGTGTAGGATAGTCTGAGTATTTAAGGAAACATATTAGTGTGATGGCTGGGAATTGATGATAAGTGACCTAAAATTTTGAAAGGTTTTGTATCTTGGTGAACACATGTAGACATTTTCTCTTATCTATGTAATTTGGTATGTGCAGAGATTTTCTTGCTAAAGAGCAACTAAATTATGTAGCTGTGCCAGGGGTGGACTGACAACTCATGGGGCCCCCGGGCAATAGGGGATCATGGGGCCCCTGTGTCCTTGCCCAAACTCAAAAAAGCCTATGAAAAAGGTTCCAGGGGCATCTCATGGGGCCCCCTACTGACCCCGGGCCAAATGGTCAGTCCGCCCCTGGCTGTGCACAAAAATGCAGGCAAGGGGCAAAGAATTAGTCACCTACGTTGCCTGTGGCCCTGTGGTCCCTTTGCAGCTGATCATTTACTCTTTTTCCCATTGCTATCTTATCATGTCTCGTTCTATGCTAAGTCTCAGTATAGAGGCAGCCGCTTGGTAGAGACAGGGCTTTGCTTTTTCATATTTGAGCTGTCCACTCTTAACTGGTGATCTGATGATTGGTGTGGCAATGCTAACTAGGCAACGGGGAGATGGATTAAAGAATAGGTCAACAGAATGACTGAAGCAGAAGCATGGAGATACATGCAGTGCAGGTCCTTGGGTACATTTTTATCTCCAGCAAGGAGAAAATGAGCAACCAAGCAGTGACATCAGCAAATCTCATTCCAATGCTTACAAGATTAGCAGTCAGTGGGCACAGAGGTGTCTAGGCACATGTAGTACATTGCTACATTTCAGTAAAAAGTCAAAAGGTAAGTATTTTAGGACACAGCATGCATTTACACAGTATATATTTTTGACTTTCACTTCTGACATATTTAGCTTCTTTTGTAGCACTACCCCCTTAGGGGCTGTCGGATTTGATCTGGGTACCCCTATGCTCTGCACAGCCAGGGAACATGAATTTTCCACACTTTGTACACTGGAGTCAAAGACCAGTTCTTGAGCTTGGTTTTGTGATTTTATTAAGGGGTTAAGAGCTTGGATGGGGTCTAAGGGTATATAAGATGCCAGAGGAACTGCAGAACTTGAAGACAAACTCCTTAGCAACTATGTACAAAAATGCAGATAACATCAGTCTTTCCTTGAAGAGCACCAAAGGCTCTTTCTAGTATATCTCCTCAGACCCCAGATGATTCCTCCTCTTCACCCAGCTGCCTGAGAGTATCCCTGGGCAAGGGGGCCCCAGAGCTGTTAATTTAGAACAGTCCCAGATGAGAAGCTAGTTGGGTCTTGCACCTGACTGCCCTCTCCCCTTATCCGGCCCAGGGGGTGTAAGAGTAATCCCACTGTCGTCTCTTGTTAGCTTGGTGGGTTGGTGGCTGCCTTTAGGCCTTACACTGGGCAGGCTTCTTCCCTGGGGCTCCCTCCCAGGCTCCACACTCCAGCCTTCCTCAATCCATCTTCTGCCCAACACTGCCCCCCCCCCCCCTCACAGGCTCTGCCACATTTGAGGGTTGCCGTAGGCACCATGCCCAGCCTCCTGCCAGGGGATTGACCAGAGTCCTTCAAAAATGCAGATCTGGGCCTTCTACTCTTCTCTACTCCTCTTCCAGAAAGTTCTTAGGTTTCTGGAAAGGCCAGAGGGCTCCAGAAATCCAGACCTGTTAAAGCCTCCCAGCCTGTTCTGAGGAAACCTCACTACCTCACTTCATCACTCCTCAGGCTGACTCATCCCCAGGCTGCTATTCAGCCTCTATCTAACAAAAAAAATTAACTAACCTGGAGGTTACACTTAATAAACTGACTTTAGCATAGTGTTGTGTATCCATTTTTTTCTTTTATTGCTTGGATTTGTTCTCCGGAGTTTTGAGCTTGCAGAGAGAAGTACAGCTTATCATTTTCTCTATAG